CGCAGGGGTGTCAGATATATGGCCCGCCGGCTGAATGAGGCCTGCGGAGGGCTGCAATCCAGTCTGAGCACAGCTGACTCTGTGCTGCTTCCAGCTTCCTGTTTCTAACTTTGCAGCTCCTTTCCCTCAGTCTCTCCTAGTTCCTGCTTCAGAGGAGAGAAAGAAAACCTTCCCATGATTGGCTGAGGGCTCCTCCTCCCTCCCCCTCCTCCTCTGGGAAGGGAGAGAGAGGGAAAGAGACAGAGAGAGGGGGGAAATGGCATCTCATGGGACTTTTAAGACCAGCAACGTTTTATTCCAGGTATAAGCACACTTTTTCATCAGAGAGAGAGAGGGAGAGAGAGAGGGAGGGAGGGAGGGGCAGCACACCAGAAAAAGAGAGACAGTCCTGGTTTAAGACCAAAAAACATTTTATTCCAGGTATGGGGGGGGGGAGAGTCCTATGTTTAAGACCAAAAAAATGTTTAATCCATGTATGGAGGTGGGAAGAGTCCTGAGTTTCAAACCAAAAAACATTTTATTCCAGGTATGGGGGGGAGGAATTCCAGGTTTTATTCCAGGTATGGGGGGGGGGAATCTTGTGTTAAAGACCAGAAAATGTTTTATTCCAGGTATGAGAGAGCGAGTGTGTGTGTGTCAGTCTTGTATTTAAGACCAAAAACATTTTATTCCAGGTATAACGGAGGGGGAGTCCATTGCATGGCACTTGGAGGGATCCCCCTTTCCATTTCTAACAGATGAGGGGAGAAACCTAACAGTACAGCTTGCATTCCTTATTAGTGAAAGGGAGCAAGAATACAGCAGCACCTTAATGACTAACAAAATTTGTGACAGGGCATGAGCTTTCATGAGTCACTGCTCACTTCTTCAGATACAGCTGGAATGTGAGTCCATCTGTCCTAATGGAGAGAAGAAGCCTAGGTCTCAATTCACTCCAGGAGTTTGCACTGTCTTGGGCTTCATGATGTGTTGTAATTCAGCAGTCTCTCTTTCTAATCTTCCTTTGAAATTCCTTGGTAAGAGAACTGCTACTCTTAGGTCAGCAACTGAATGCCCTGGAAGGTTAAAATGTTTCCCCACTAGTTTTTGAAGATTGTGGTTTCTAATAGTGGTAGAAAGAGTCCAGTAGCACCTTTAAAGACTAACAAAATTGTGGTAGGGTATGTGCTTTTGTGAGTCACTGCTCACTTCTTCAGACTTATTTTCATCCTCCTGGACCGAATCCTCCTGTAACAAATTGAGACCTAGGCTTCCTGTCTCATTACCAATGTTGATATCTCTACCCTTCTGCATATCACACCTAATCCAATCATGCCTGCTATTGCCATTTGGCATCTGAAATCATCTTTATAAAGTTTATATCTCTGGTCCCTTGTGTTACATTTTATGGGACACATGGCCCAGCCTGACCAAGTCACATTTATGTCAGATCCGACCCTCATAACAAATGAGTTCGATATCTCTGATCTAAGGCTTCAAAGTTTAAAACTGGCGCTTTAAGTTGAATCTGCCACCAGATGAAAACAGAGTGGCACCACATGAAAATCATGAAGAATTGTCGTAGAATGGTTCATCTAGCTTTTTATTGATTTACCAATTTAATTTATAGTCTACCTTACTGAGACTCAGGTATTACATAATTAAAAACAATGTGATCAGCGGAGTATGTGTACAATCAACAATATAATAAAGTGGGATTACAGCACTGGAGTAGTGTGCTAAACAGTATACTAGTACCAGTTAGCAACCTTGCTGTTTCAGGTTGAAACAGTTTCTGCTTTACAGTTTGCCATTTCGCAAGGCAGGGCATTCCACGAGGTGGGCCAATCATTTTTTTATAGCAATTTAGGATAGGGTTGCCAAATGTGAATCGGCCGGGAGCGGGGGGCTCCCGGCCGGCGTCTGTTGCGTGCACGCCACCCAGAAGTGACGTCGCACACTGGGGGCGGGGCCACGCCATTTGAGGGGAAAACAAAGAGTTTTCCCCTCAAATGGCGTGGCCCCGCCCCCAGCGTGCGACGTCACTTCCGGGTGACGCGCACGCGGGGGTGGGGTTTCCCCCGGGCCCCGATTCCGCTGGAGCGGGAATCAGGGCTTGAAAGCGGGGGGAAATCCACCCCCCAGGGGCATTTGGCAGCCCTAATATAGGACCACCACCCCGAGTGCTCAGAGTTATTTCACACACAATTGAAAAACAGAGGGAGAGACAGTTCCTAGCAAGATGATGGAAGGCACAGAGATAGGAGTGGGAGAAGATGGCAAAAGGAGGAGGATGTGAACTATAGCGGCATGCAGGGTGAACAGCTTTTGAAAAAGGGACTAGAAGAACCTTGAAAATTATGGCTAATAGAATAGGAATAGCGGCACAAGGAAATGATTGATACGATCATTGTTTTGAAAGACTGAAGGCCAATAAGAACGAGAACACAAAGCGGTGATTGCTAATGGAGTTGCTTGCAGTCAGTGCAGAAAGGGAGAAGAGATCCAGAATGGAAGAAGTGACTGGTTTTGCATTTATGGAGAACATGCTGAGCGTAGTTTTGAAAGCATGTCCTCCGTACAATATATTATTGGTCTTATAGGCTTCACCAGGGCTTTTTTAGCATAATAGGCCACACCCTGACACCACAGCTCATTAGCATATTAGGTCGCAGCCCCCTGTTGCCAGAAGTGTGGTCATCCAGCCACACCCACCTTTTGCTTCTTATTCTGTTTACCTTGTTAGTTGTCAAAACCCAGGGCCTTTTTTGTAGCAGGGACTCCTTTGCATGTTAGGCCACACACGCCTACTGTAGCCAATCCTAATTAGTTTCTGCTGTTGGGTGTGGCCTATTATGCTAATGAGTTCCTGCTGGGTGTGGCCAACTCAGGAGCCAGCCGGAACTCCGTTCCTGTGCGTTCCTGCCCAAAAATAGCCCTGGGCTTCACCTTTTCAGTCCTTAAAATCTAGCCGTGTTCAACCAAATTATATTGGGTCTGTTTCCTTGACTGAGCATTAAAAGTAACAAACTGTTTGCTATTTGCCCAATCTAATGCGAGCTCTGTTTTAACAGTTGCTGTCCCCAGACACTATCCAGCCTCTCGGCACTCAGATGCTTAAGAGACCTGATAAGGTTTTTTTTCCAAAACACCTCAACAAGTTTTAATGAAGAGAAGATGATAAGAGGAAGGGCGTCTGGAAGGTCTTGCAGGCGAGGCAAAGAGATTCAGACTGAACCAACTCTATATCCTAGTTTAGGACATCTTGGGAACAGCTGCGGCACATCATACCTCAATGTAAATCATGGTCTTGGTTGGATACTGTCCAACCAAGACCATAATCTACACTGAGGTACAGTCAGTGTTTCTACTATCCCCTACCTTTAATAGCTGGTTGGTCTTCAGACATTAACAGGTGTCTATGCTTATCTCCAGACCATGAAAGGCTTCACTGGCTGGTTTCAGTAGATCAAGCTGGTAAAGGAATAGGAGGAGACCTGTCATTTGACAACTCTGATTTTTGTTGTTAGAATAAATTTTTTTAACTTCCTGACATTTTCCCTCATGCAGTCTGTGTTATTCTCTGTAGACTTGTGCTTGACATGGTAGGTTGGGGCACCTACACTTGACTAGATCCACTGGTGGGTAAGTGGTCCAGATTGCTGTGAAGCAGTAGCCTGGAGCACTACCTGCCAAAGACTCCTGTGCATTTCTTCATGTATGTGCACTTGCAGTTCTATGAGTTGTACCATATCAAGGGCAAAGTAATCAGAAAAAAAATTACAAGGATTCCCTCACACAAGCACTCAGCTATTACCCCTCCATTGGTTATCGTCACATTCTTTCCTCTTTGCCTTCTTGTGATGTTTCTTGTGCCTGGAACTCCCAGGTTCTTTCTCAAGACTCACTAAAAGCAATTTATCTGCCTCTCCCCTGTCATGATTCTAGTGTTCTTCTTGAAGAGGGTAGAATGATTGTGCACGCATGTGGGAGAGTGAAATTGCAGTGGCACACTATGCCTCTGATTTATGCATGCTCATTCGAACATATACAAAGAAACTTTGCTCAGTACATATCTTCACATAAACTTGTGTAGGCTGAAGTGGAGTTGCCATCACTCCTCCTCCCCCCATGTTTTTTCTGCCTCTTTCAGACATCCGAAGAGGGTTTCTGCCCTCTGCCTCATCTTCACTGGCAAATCCCTGACTTGGGAAGAGTTCATAGACTGGTGATGAAGCACATGCCTTGTGTGCAGAAGGGCCCCACATTGCCATAAGCTGGAAGAGACTTTTGTCTGTGACCTTGGAGAGGTGCTGCCAATTGGAATAGTCAGTGCGGGTCTAGATGAACCAATGGCGTGTGCCAGTATAAACCAGTTTCATTAACTTTTTAAAGGGAAGGGCCAGAGCTCAGTGGTAGAGCACCATAATCTTACTTGAACTGGTCTGTGTAGCAAGGCTGGGAAGGAGACCTGCCTTGGAGAGTTGCCGCTCTTCAAAGTAGGCAACACTTGGCTGGTTGACTCCATTTTAAGCAACTGGGTACATCCCTGACCTCTCCATTCAGCACACCTCTCATAATGTGGGTTACAATAATTTCTTTGTAGAATGTATGTCATAGTACACAACCAAAATTCTTTTTTAAAAAAGGTTTTATCAAAAGTTTAAAAGTACAATTTTTGCAACAATAAGCATAGTTACAGCAAATATACAATTCAACGTATATCAAATAAACTAACAAGTCAAAACATAATTATCCATTAGGAATATTATTCTATCGCCATTAATGTAATAAAATTAACCATTAAAGTATTATCAATAGAATCTCTATATTTATATTTCCACTTCACAAAAGGATATTATCTGTTAGTTCCTGTCTTAATTTATCCTTCTTTTTCTTATTATTGAAGTAATTTTACCACGGATTGAAGTAATTGTACCACGGATGACCACCACACAGCCAAAATTCTTTACATTCATCTTCTGGAGACTGATCGTTGTCATTTTTCTCTTCCATTTAAGATCTTGTCCAATGTTTCCATCTACTTGTGTACCATCTGTGTGGGCATCATGTCATACTACATGGCAGACCGGAAGCACCGCAAAGCCTTCCTGGAAGCCCGGCAGTCTTTGGAGGTCAAGCTCAACCTGGAGGAGCAAAGCCAGCAGCAGGTAAGAGCTGAGAGTAGCAAGTGTTTTCTTCCTGTTTTACATCCACACAAGAGGCTCAAGAAAGTGGATTGGGTGTACTAGAGAGCAGATTTATCCTGGTGGTCATTTGGTTGCAGGAGTCTGTCAGGGCTGAGTTAGCACTGAATTTGAGACCTGTTTGGATTTGTGCATTGTGCAACTATTAAACGGTATTACAGAGGGGTAGCCGTGTGAGTCTTTTGCAGAAAAATTAAGCAGGAGTCTGGTGTCACCTTTGTGAGTCAGAGCTCACTTCATCAGATTCATCTAGTGTCCATCTGTAGCAGCTGTATTCTTGAAACTTAAAGTGTAATTATAGTTGCAATAGATGGGCCTTACATGATGAAGTGAGCACAGATTTATGAAAGCTTATGTTTGAATAAATTTCTATTGGTCTTTAAAGTGCTACTGGACTCCTCTTACCTTTATGCTTCTGAAGCAGAGAATCGATCCCTTATCACTCCTGTTTTATTTATTTATTTATTCAAAACATTTGTAGGCCGCCTTTCTCCCTTGCAGAACTCAAGGAAGCTTACAGTGTGAATACAACATTATAAAAACATAAAACCCACAGAACCCATAAAAGTCACAGTTTAAACACTCCAGTTAGGACTGCCAAGAATAAAAGCTAAATCAATCAAAATGCAGTCCTAAATAAAACTTGTCTTCAGTTGCCTCCTGAAGACTGACAAATGAGGGGGTCAGGTGCACCTCCCTGAGGAGGTTGTTCCATAATTGTGGAACAATCATGGAAAAGGCCCATTCTCATGTACCCACCAAGCAAGTGTCTTTAACTAGTGTGACAGTTAGGAGGGCATCTAGGTAGGAACTAGGGTTGCCAGGTCTGGGTTGGAAAATACCTGGAGACTTTGGGGGTGGAGCCAGGAGAGGAAGGGGTTTGGGGAGGGGCCTCAGCATAGTACAGTGCCATGGAGTCCACCCTTCAAAGCAGCCATTTTCTCCAGTTGTAAAAGCGGGAGATCCCCAGGCCCCACCTGGAGGCTGGCAACCCTGGTAGGAACAGATGGTAGAAGATAAACCAGTTCCAACCCATGTAGGACTTTAAAGGACAAAGTCAACACCATGAATTAGGCTCAGGAGCAAATCGATAGACAGTGCAGTTGCTGTAGTACAGGGGACGTATTCCTCATAGCTGGCCCTGACCAGCAGTCTACCTGCAACATCTGGATTTTTCCCTGCAATGTGTTTTGCTCTCTCTAGTAGTCCCAGAGGGAGCAAGTCACATGTGGAAAAGGGGGGGGGCACTCAAAGCAATAGGGACAAACAAGTGACAAAAGTGCGGAAGTGGTCTGAGTGTCATATGTTCGCCCAGGCAGGCTGTTTTAGAGGTCCAGACCTGATTTAGCTCCTGCAGTAGAAATGTGTTGTTTGGTTTCAGGTCAGTTTTTGGACCACTGAGGCCTTGAGGGGAATGAGTCAGTTTGTTATCGTTGTCACTCAGTTGTCACTTCAACCTGTAGTGTGATCAGACTGTGAAGGACTTGATGCAGGAACACGTGCATGCCATTTCTGGGTATATTTGGACAGAAGTTAAAAATACACATGGCACCCTTTTTATAGACTCAGTTGCATTCAATTCACAGCTTCCGGCCCCTGTCGACCACCACTGTTCCTACTGTCTGTCCTGCACCTGACTGTTGATAACACCTTCCCGATTAGCGTCACCAAAGTGCTATTGATGTCAGCCTGAGCTTTGGATTCACAGGGAGATAGACTTTTACAGTCGTCAGAGGGTTGTAGATGGGTCTTTGAAAAGGCTTTTATATGCTGCTGAGAGAGACTGCAGTAATATCAATCCATGCCTTGTGCTATTGCTTTGGCAAGGCTACAAGGCTCCCCTCTGAGGAGCACAAAATAGTGTAATGGAAGTGGAAAGAAATGGGGAGGGTTGTTCAGGGAATTTTTCCTTCAGTATGGGAATTGCACTGTCTTTGACTTTAGTTCTTTACATGTTTCTCTTATAGAAATAACAACTTGGGGGTCTGTGAGGAATTTCCAGGACACTATAAGTTCTTAGGGATTTGAAGAAGCCAGTTCATTCTCTCTCTCTCTTTCCCCCCCTCAGCATAACATTAATCCTGGAGCAACATGTCATTTGTGGAGTTATTTTTTTCTTAAAATTAAAAATGGTATTTTCTTGCACACCAGTAGAATCTCCAGAGTTTGCAGAAATCCCTGTCTTGTAGATAGGCTGTCCTATTTCATTACCCTTCTGGAAGGCAGTATTAGGGAGAATAAGTTGGGAGCATCCAAGAAAATAGAGGGAGAAGGGCAAATTGGCCTGCCACCAGTATTGGTACAGAATTGGCAGGGCAGTGGTGGCCCTGGGCCAAAAGTGGGATTGGCTGGCTTGCTTGTTTAAGTTGTTCACTTTGTTTTGGTTTCTCCAAACTGTTTGTACATTGCATATGTTGCACGGTATTGGTTCACAGAATTCATACCACCATTCCATCTGGCCATCTATCTATAAAACTATTGTCAAAGTTCTAAGCTCCCTCCCCCACCATACTCACCTAGCACTGGACTATCCCATGCCAAAAGGCTTTGGAAATCCAACTTTTTTTGAGGGAACCCATATGGATTCCATATAGCTGCTACAAATTGCAGGAAGAATTTTGGCTAGAAATCAGAAGATTAACTTGTACAGTGGTTAGCTTTGCAAGTGCTTTATAAATAATATTTTTTAGATTTTATTAAATTTGTTACTTTTTGTTCCTATTAAGATTTTATCAAATCTCACACGACAGTGCCACAATTGTAATACAATGAGAGTTGTAACTGATAACCTGCATTGTTTTTAATTATGATTGTTATTATTCCTGAGTTTTGGAAAGGCAATATATAAATCTTTTGAAATGAAGTAAGTAATACATAGTGTATAATCATGGGTTCAGTGTTCAGGGGTCTTTTCGTAGAATAAGAGCTGCAGGAGCTCATTAGCATAACTCATTAGCATATGCCACACCCCCTGAAATCACCGGAAGTGTGTCAGAAGGTCACACCCCCTGACATCACTGGAAGTGTCAGAAGGCCACACCCCCTGACATCACCGGAAATGTGTCAGAAGGCAGCACCCACCGCTTCGGCTCCACTGGACTGTTTTGGATTGATAGCTGGGGGGGGGAGAGAGAAATCTGCCCTCACAGAGGAGGGAGAGCTTGTACCTGAATAAAACTTGATTTTAAAGGTGTCACTGGACTGTTTTGGTTTACTGGCTGGGGGGAGGGAATTGGTAGATCTGCCCTCACAGAGAAGCCAGAGCTGGTTCCTGAATAGAACTTGGTCTTAAAGGTGCCACTGGACTGTTATGGTTTACTGGCTATGGGGGGGGGAAAT